CCCGGGGGGCTTACTTTAATAGCCTCCAGAGAGCAGGAGACAGGCCCGTTTTTCCATTAACAGAGAAAGAACCTTGTGATATCTCCCTTCTTCTTGGGGGCCTAGATTTTGAACAATAGGACTAAAGCTCTAGAGAATTCTGGGAAAGAACTGTTCTCCATAATTCTTAAATAGAGCCCTGGAAGCATCTTAGCAATATACGTGTTTCATAATTTTTCAATACGCTGATTGAAAGGAGAAGAGAAAAACTTTAGAACACATGGCTTCTTTTCCCTTCTTTTTTTTGCTGGGAGGAGGGAAATGCGTGGCAGGCTGCAGGAGCATCAGTTGGACTTTCCAGGGCTTGGAGCCCTGGAAGGCGCCCTGGAAACTGAAGCTGGTGCGGAAGGCAGTCAGGAGCGCAGCCATTTCCCGGGGACACAGCCCCTGTGCCTGCAGGGCTCTGGCTGCCCCCACACCTGTGAGAATCTACATTATGTGGCCCGTCTCCCCAGCTTAGTGGTGAGACTGGCCCACAGCACATTTGATCTCAGGGAAGGTCTTTGTTATTTGGAATTCTCTTCCTCCCAGAATCACACAGGACTGGTCTCTTAGATCTTCAAGGCTGCTGCCCCATCTCTTGAGATAAGTAACAACACTCAGCATGGGTTGCAGTGAGCACTTTTAAGTCTCCAGGAAGGCCAGGAGCACACCGCCACAGGAACCTCCCCACACACAGGCCCAGCAGACACCTCCTGCACACGCTCCACCCCACACACCTCAGAGGGCAGCATGTGCCATGTGCATCCACTCAAGCGACAGCTGCCAGCCCTAGAGGTGGGGCCAGTATTCCCATCTGCATTGTGGGGGAGGGGTAACCGGCACACAGGGGTTTGGTGAGAGCTAGTGTGTGGCGGCAGCTCCTCAGATGCCGGGTTGGGACTGGCCCCAGGGAGCCTGCCTTCAGAGTCGGGATGGCAACCCTATGCCACACTGCCTTTTAGGATGGGCCATCTGCACACGCTCCCAGCACCCTGGCGCTGCATTTGAGGCATGCCACCTTAGGAAAGGCAGCCTGAACAACAGGGAGTGCTGTTGCACATGCCGAGCACCCGTGTCCACACTGGGTCCCGAGCCCAGGATGCCCAGTGGGATTTCTCCTTCCTTTTCTCCCCTTGGATGCCCAATTGCATCACTTCTCCCTTGCTCTGGGCTCCGCTTCCGAGCAAAGCAGGAGGGGAGGATGAGGGAGAGTCGCCTTCCCAGAAACCAGTGTGTGGCTTTACTCTGTTAGTCACAGTCAAGAGCAAGGAGAAACACAACCAGGAGACTCAAATCCTGGACCTCAAGAGCGCCCTCTTTACTGACTCAGTGTGATCCTGGGAAACAGTGCTGCAGGCAGATGCCTGGGTTCAAATCGCACGTCTGCCACTTACAAAGACAGAGAGCCTGGGCAAGCTGCTTAAACTCTGTGCCTCTGTCTTCTCATCCGCAGAACGGGGGTAATAATAGTTACTTACTCAAGGAGGTGTGTTTTCTTATGAGGCTTAGATGAATTAATGCACACAAATTGGCACCTAGGAAGTACTCATTAAATCATTTTCTATTTCTTCACTGACCATTTTCAGCTACTTCTGCTACAAAGCTCATCAAGCTACAACCAGCAGCCCTTTTTACTGAATTGACCCCCACCCCCAGCCAAGAGTCCTTCGCACCAAGAGGCAATGAGACAGGACTCTTGAGCATGGCAGTCAAACAGGGGAGGAGCTGAACTTGCCACAATTAAGAAAGATTTTTTAATGAATACAGTTAAGGATCAAGAAATTATTTCATGAGTAACAGCTATTAAAGCCAGTGGTCAATAAGAAGGCAGGAAGTAGAAGATCCATTGTTGAACATAACACATTGCATGTCTGTTGAATAATACATATCAATATGTCTCTAGTAAAATGACTCAAAAGTATTTATCTGTCTTTATGTGTAGTTTAGAATCGAATGCCCAGGGAAATGAAATAAATTGGCAAGTGACTCCAATGGCCTTCCAACCCAATATTCTTAACTCAGTGGCTGCCAAACTTTGGCATCAAGTGGGAATGCAGGCTCCCACGCTCCAGCCCAGGAAGACTGACTAGAAAGTCTGAGATTCCAACCAGAAGTCTGAATTTTTAAGCAGCCTTTCCAGGTGAGTGTAGGGGGCCAAGGATTGTACTCTGAGAAACACTGCTAGGCAAGAAATGGTCTTGGTCCCATCCAAGGGCAGAGAGCAAGGGGGACTCAGGTGGCTGTGCAGCGTCTAAGAGGTTTTAGAGGAAGGTACAGAGGGGCATTCCATGTGGCAGGGCACTGGCCTCTGTACCAAGCTGGGGGACATTCTCTTCCTGTTCAAACGGTGGAAACTGGGGCTCAGGATTTATGAGATCAAGGCAGAGCTGCGTTTAGTACCCTGGGCTTCTGATAGGAAGCCCTGTCCACCAATTTTAGGATCAGTCGCAGAGAAGATTCCTGAGACTCTACCATCCTCAGGAAGGGGAACATTGATATTACAAAAGCGGTTCTAGGGGACCGAGGGGTGTGAGAGACAGCACAGCCAATGTGCACACTCTCAACACGATTCTGTGCTCTCCTTTTGGGGGACCTCTTCCTCCTTTGAGTGTGTGCGTGTTGGTCTGGCTCATAACTCTGTGCCAAGTCCTATATGGTCATGTGTGCATAAAGACCCATAAGGGTCAATGGGCTGGTTTAAATATTTAGATTCTGGTCTTCTTCAATCAGGACATGTGGAAACGAAGGAGAGACGGACCTGAGCTCTAAGAAAACTTCAGCCTGGAATGCTCTGGTCAAAGTCTGTGACCTCCTCTTCTGACTTCCCAATCTGGGCCCTCAACTGGAGTAGAAGGCAGCAGACAGAAGTGAGGCTAAAGGTCCTTTCCCAAGCTAGGGTAGCTCTTCGCTGCTCCCTGCCTTTAAAATCCTTGTTTGTTTTACACGAGGACAGAACAATGTGAAAATAACAGAATTTAAATCAAAGCACCAACACGGCTTCCCATTGTTCCCTGTGCGCTCTCCGCCCAGAGTGGGAACCCAGAGGGGAGGGGGCGTTCCCAAGCGGAGTCACCTGGGAAATCAGGTGTGACAGAAATCCTATCCCATCAGACACAGCACAGAGAGAGTGGGGTCCAGAACACCTCATCAGTCCCCTGGATTTTCAGTCCCAGTTTAAACATTTGTGTCCTCAACTGAAGGGACCCAGCAAACCGGTGGCACTTCAGCCCTGTTACATAAAGCTCGACGAAAGTGGCTCCTACTAGTTAAACACAATTTACAAAATCCCACAGGGCAGTCACCAGTGCAATGACAATACCGGCAGAGCCGCCTTGACGGCAGGGCTGGGGGGGGGGGGGGGGACACTCAGTAAACAAGGTCACAGGTGGGAACCTTATCAGATCTCACCGGTGACTCTTCCAGCGCCAGAATAAGACCGGAAAAAATGCATGTTTTCTGCCATTCTTCCCTCACAATGGTCAAATTGTACAATGTTGTCGTGTTCCTCTCCTCGCCCCGCCCATTCCCCCAAAGCTTCTCTTTTAAAAGAATGAGACTCTTCGCAAAGGACAGTACCTAGACACCAGCTTCTCAATGCCACACGTCTCTCCCCCCTCGCCCGGCGCCTCACTGCCATGTGACTGACAGTCATCCTCGATACTAAGGCTGGGCTTGGCTCAACCGAGGGAAAAGCACGCCGCAGGCTACGTTTTAAATTATTGGCTCCCGTGGAAGCGCAGACCCCTGTAATGCACAGGAGTGAAGGTGGGGAACCCAAGGCACACAAGTTCCCTGGGAAAAGCGAGCTTTCTCAGAACCTGGGCTGGGCAGGGGCTGCAGGAGGACACACAGGCACACAAACACGCTCAGGGCAGCACGCACGAGCTGCCTTTCGGCAAGGCCACTCGGTGTCCCAACCACTCTTGGGTGCGCGAATAAAGCCCGTGAACCGGAGGCAGGACTTACCCCAAGGACGCTGTGGGCCAGGAGCCCCACTGTCACGAACCCCAGCAACAGCCACCTGGATGGGAGAGGGAGGAAGAGCGCCGTGAGCGTGTGGCCGCGGCTGGGCATTTCCTGAAAGTTACACGAAAGGTCCCGTCGCGCAGGACCCACGGGGACACGGCAAAAAGTTGCTTACCGCCGCAGGGCAGGGCTGGACGCCGCGCACTGGTGTCTGTCCATGCTCCCAATCTGGCCACTCTGGGCTCGGGTCAGTCCGTCCCAGCCTGGAAGGCGAGAGACAAAGCAGGCTGAGCTCGGGCTGGGAGGGGAGCATCCTCGCCGCCCGCGTCGGTCTGCGAGACGCGGGAAAGCGGGGTGAGCCCCCGCCTCCTCGCAGGGGTGACACAGAGGCGCCCCACGGCGAGACAGAAGAAAGGGGAGCCTTCCATTTAGGCCCTGGCTGGTGCTACTCAGCCGTGGCCGCTCAACACCCCCCCCGGCCCCCACACCACTCCTGAGAGAAGGGCGCGCAGCCCGAGGCTGCTCAGGGCGCCCCAAGTCTGTGGCCTTGGCCCGGGTCTCGTCCCCGGGGTCGCTCTCACCTCCGGCCCGGCTTCAGGGGCTGCCGCCCGCGCGCATCCGCCCTCCAGCCGCGCGCCCGCCCTCCAGGCCTCCCTGGGCGCCGGCCTCGGGGCCCGCGCGGCTGCTCGCAGTCCTCCGCGCGGTGGGCGAGCGCGGAGCGCAGGGTCGCGCCGCGGCTGCGGGAGGGTGCGGAGCGCGGAGCCCTGGCGTCCCGGCGCGCGGCGGCCACAATCCGCGAGCCGCGCGCTCCCGCCGCCTCTTACCCGCGCCGCAGGGTCCTCCCCTTTGAGACGCCGCCCGCGCGCCGCCGAGGGGAGGGGGCAGCGCCAACAAATTGGGGAGCTCGCCTGGCCGCGCTCAGGTCTCCGCCGCGAGCCGCCGCGCCCGGGACGGTGCGCAGCGCTCACGCCCCGGCCCTCGCCCAGTGAGCCGCCCGCCGCGGCCCCCGAGCGTCCGGCCGCCGGCCCCCGCCGCCCCTCGCCGGTCCCCGCCGCCCCGGGCGCGCCACCATGGGGCCCCGGCTCGGCGTCTGGCTCCTGCTGCTGCCCGCCGCCCTCCTGCTCCATGAGGAGCGCAGCCGGGCCGCTGCGAAGGTGAGTCCCGCCGGCTCCGCTCCCGGCGTCCCGCCCTGCGCCCTGGGCGCCCGGCGCAGCCCCTTTGTCCCTGGCCGGAGCCGCTCGCCCGCCCCTCGGGGGTCGCGCGTGGCACGGCCAGGTGCAGTCTCTGGGCGGGTTCCCGCTGGTTATCCCTGGATGCTGCCATCGCGCATCCATTAGGGGAGACTCCTTTGTTGTGGGCTGGGTAGGGGCAAGTTAGGGGACTCCTCGGGGCCCGGGGCAAGCAAGCAGAACTTGGAGCGCACCGTGCGGGGTTAGGGTGCCCGGGAGTCAGCAGGATTTGAACTCGCAACGCGGGGCCCTGGGCCGCTGGGCGCCTTCACCTGCCCTGGGGCCCCGGGTGGGCCGGGGGCGGGAGGGGTGGACACGGAGCCCCACGCTGCTCGGAACCCCACATGTGTGCCCGGGAGTCGCTTTGGGCGTGTTTCTGTGGTTCTTTGGAGACTCTGCTGGTTGATGCTGAACAGTTCTGGGCCGTTTGCCTGGAAACAGCTGTATCTTTGCTTTCCCACGACTTTTCTCTTGCTAACGTCCTCTCAGGAACAGAAGTGGGGCTGCTCTTTAGTGCAGCTTTAAGGAGTTACCATACTCGACCCACTGCCTTTTATTAGTATATTTTTAAAAGAAATTATAACCACATTTACATTTGAGTGTAAAACCAAAATGAAACTGCATCTCATTGTTCTACGAACCAATTGTTTTCCTAGTTTTCCTTTCCTCCGGCTATGTGCTTGCCCGGAAAGGATCTGGGAGTTCTGATTGCAGAAGTCAAGGCTTCCAGCTCTGGACAGTCCTTGACGTCCTGTTGTTCTTCTTTCCTTCTTTCCTTCCCCTGGGACAGAAGAAAGACCTCAGCTGTTCCCCGGGTCAAAGCCCTGTAGACAAAACCCAGGAAGGTGTGGCTTCTAAACACATTTTGCATCGCCCCCCAAAGGTTTAACAGTGATTTTGCTGCTGCCACATTTGCCATTTACTCTTGCCGTTTCAAATCCAACCCTTGCTCCCGGTTTTTTATTTGTTTGTTTCCTTTTTAACTTCTCTTAGGAAGAAGGATAACTCGCTGGCTTCACTGTGTATAAATTATTAACTGTTACTTGCCAGAATAAACTGGTAATATGCACGTCTCATCACTCGGGGTTTGCTTCCCAGCCGGCACCTCCTGCCCCGGGTAATGAAAGGACTAATGATTACACCAGCAATTGACTTCAGATTGTTTCTCCCAGCCCAGAGTCTAGCCAAGCACCATAGCCAGTTATTTAAACACTCTCTGATAATGATGACAAAATACTTTCAAAAGAGGAGGCTCCAGAACGCTTTATTTGGGTCCAGAAACACTGACCAAAACGTGTAACACTTCCAAAGAGTGACTGCTAAACTGGATGTCAAGCAAATGTGAGAAAGTTCTCTACTTGGAAATATGAACTTCTGTTTGGACTTAGATTTTCTGATTGATAATATTAGCAAAGCAAAACTAGTTGTAAGAGCTAGCTTTTCAAATAGCCAGGACTTTAAAGAATGAGCCACTCACTTATGGGAAGTCCTGTTCCTAGCTGGGAAATCAAAATCATTCCTGTTGAGTTTGGGATTATTTTACTTCCCTTTAATTATTCTCGAAAGCCCAAATACATTCCTGTGCACGGGCTTTGCTCTGTCCCTCAGGGTCTCATGTAGTGTTTCAAGCGATCTGGCATGTGGACATCCTCTGATCACCAAGTGAGTTGACAGGTATTATCATTACACTGTATTTTTCCTGGCTTAGTTAGAGGCAGAAAATTTATTGCTATGTGTATGACTGAGTGTACAAGGAAATCCATTTAATAATAATATCTAGATAATTTTTAAATTGATCTCACTTTTCATGCCATCAGTAACGTTTTTTGCTTACCTCTTTCCAGAATCAGTTGTTAAGTGTACCAAAAAGTTGAAATAACTTCCATATTGATCCAAGCAAAATATCACTTAAAAATAGATTTTGAATGATAAGATGCTGTGGATCAATCAAACCCTAATTCAGAAGCTGCTATGAGTGATTCTTGGAAACCCTGCTCCTTTGGAGTATCTGAATCACACTTTGCCTGCATTTATATGCCCAAATTGCATGCATTTTTTTTCACGTGCAAGGCTGTTTGATTTTATATTTGACCATATCTGCTGTGGACATACTGTTCATTTACTGGTGGATGGATTTTCTAAGCCGGTGGTTTTTTCCCATGCCACACCTACCCCCCATTCCCCTTCCCAGCTTTCCTTTCTTAGGCAAGAAAAGAGGACGAGGGTGCAGGCCTGAGACAAGAATGTGCCCAGAGTGTTATGCTCGTGAGTGGCCTCTGTTCTCAGTCAGGCAGTCATACTGAGCTGCATGAATTATTCCTTCCGCAGCCTTCAAACTGCCCCCCCCAACTGGTCTGTGTGATGCTTCTTAGCGAATTATTTCTCAGGATCAGAAATATGAACTTTTCCCGGAGAGTGGGGACGCCTGCCTAGTCATATTGGCATCTCCAGACCATTAGTCACTACTCCTGGGACCAAATGACCTAGAATTCAAATACAGTGAGATTTAATTCCCATGCGAGTATGGACCATGTTCTGCTAGAAACATAATTTAAGTGAGAAGGCTGGTTTCTGACTTAGTCCCAATGACAGCAACATGGACCTAGTATCTCGAGAGTGAGATTGGTGAAGATGTAGTCCAAATCGTCCTGCTCTTCCTAGACGGAACTGGATCAGGGTGAAGGGCAGCACCTCTAATTCCAACCAGAAGTAATGCACATAACCCATGTGTGTGTAACAGTGTACTCTTACAGAATTACTAGCGATGTGTTTCAGTCACACACACAGAACAAGTGTGGTTTAGGGACTAAAAGATCCTAAATTTGTGTCTGCTTTTATTAAGCAGATGATTTTGGAGGACTCATTAACCCAATGCCTCAGTTTCCCTGGCAGACGTGTCCCTCCTCCCAGGGATCTGTCCCTTCCTTCCTTCATTCGGCACATGTGCCCTGAGCACTTCATGTCATGCACTCTACCAGGTGCTGGCCGTGCAACAGTGAGTGGGACCTACTCTCTGCCCCCAGGAAGGTTGCAGTCTGGTGAGAAATACTGAGAAAGAAACAGGCCTCTACAACTCAGGCTGGTAAATACTATAATCAAGGGAAACCAAGGGCCATAGGAGCACCTAATCCTGCTCTGGGGAACTCAGGGAAGCTTCCAGGAGGACATCCCACCTCTGAATCTGAAGCAGAAATAGGAACTGTAACCCCCGTATGTTATTTTCATATGCATTATTATGGCACACTGTGTAGTCACGTGCTGCATGATGACATTTCAGTCAACGACTGGCCGCATGTACGACAGTGGTCTCATGAGATGACTACCATATAGCCCAGGTGTGTAGGCCATACCACCTGGGTTTGTGTTGGTACACTCTGTGATGTCTGTACAACAATGGCATCACCCAACAGCACATTTCTCAGAATGTATTCCCACCAAGCGACACATGATTATACAAGGGAGGTGTGATAATTCTGCCTGTCCTTTCACAAATCTAAGGGTCTTTGCATTTAAAGTTGACCCTCAAGTTTCCTCCTTTGAGATACCAAGATGTCATTGTTTCTGTTATTAACAAGCCTGGTATCTGAACTTTTCTCTCGGAGGGGTAGAGAGAAATTGAGGGGCAGGGTCTAGAACAGTGATAAGAAGCACTGGCTCCAACCAGGTGTCCCCTCCCCAGGGCTGCAGGTACATTGGGACGTTTAGAAAGTTGCAGCACGGGTGGCTGATTCTAGGCGGGAGTGCCTTTGGGAACTGACCCAGAAAACTTACCCTCACTTAGGCAAGGACATGAGGGAATTCACAAAACCCTACATTATTCATTAACAGGACCGTCGGCAGATTTCTTAGGACTGGTAAGAATGGCCGTAACTTAACAAGTTCAGTTATCTAGTTAAGAGCGGGTGAAGATTTTGCACATAAGTTGAACCCACAGTGACGCTCTAAAACGGAGGACATCCAGAACACTTGTTTTGATGAAGTATACAGTGTTTGTTGTAACGATTGTTCTAGAATTGAAAAAGGATTAAGCTCATTAAAATGTCTCTCAAGCAGATTTGGTATTTTGAATTCTTGGGATAGAGTAAGCAAAAGCAACAATAGAATGCCTAAAATAATACCATTAGAGCATTGTTCTTCCTGCTATTAAACAACCACTAAAAAATGTCAACTATAGAACAATACAAAAGACATATTCCTACCATTCTTGTGCATACAGTGAAAGGGGATATAAACCAGAAGGGGCTCCAATTGTCAGTTTCTGTTGAGGAGTTTAGCAGTGTAAGAATTACTTTGGGGTTAGTGTTTTCATGGTCTGGTGTCCCTCCATTGTTCTCCTGGTCTTAACCTTGTGGCATGAGTCTATCCTAGTTTTCTTTGTATTTCTCTGCTTCTCTGTTCTTCTTCCTCTTCCAGACCCTGCAGTGTGGGGGTGCTATGGGGGTATGCTTCATCTCCCTTTTCTCTACCCTCTCCACCTGGGGAGGTCTTCTCACGTGATGCGTTATCGTTCCGTGAAGGTGACTCCAAACCTTCTTCTTGAACGCCAGTCTAGCATCTTACGTTCCCATGGACTATCTCACCTGGGCTGTCCCGCTTTGATGGCAGACTTAGCAAATATGTCCAGAAGTGAACCTGCAGTCTGTTACCCAGACTGACTGCCGTTCCCAACTCTCCCCTTTTGGTCATTGGCACCCCGATGTGTCTGGAGGCTCAGCCCGGAGACCATGGCTTCCTCTGGAGGCCTCACCTTTTGCTCCATTGTAACCTCCATGTCACTCAGTCGCCAGGTCTACCACGTCTTCTTTCTGCATGCTTCTCAGAGTCCCCCTCTGCTTTCTCTTCCCATGGCTGTGACCCCATTCCAGGCCTCCTCCCCTTGTGCCAGGACAGCCACAAAACTTTCCTGGCTCCTGCCCCTCCTTTCA